GTGCTGTTTGCGAGCACCTATGAAGGCCGGCACGGCACACGAGGGGGTGGGTGGCCAGCACCACGCCCGGCCGCCTTTGTCTCCCTAGTGGCGAGGTTTACACACTGCTCCAGGTACACATTTTTAGGCTGAGTCGACCTAGGGGAGGCCTAGGAACGGTTCATATATCCGTCGCTGGTGTTGGCCGTGAGCGGGAATTGAACTCGGGTCACCGGGTTCGTAGCCCAGCGCATATACACAATCACGCTGCCACACAACAAAAACACACCAATTCACACGCGTGAACGCACGCACACGACGCATACATACACACACTCGCAAACTCGCACACACGTACACACACTCACAACAAAGACAAAGATCCCCCGTGTAGTCTGTAACAGACTGTTGGGGAAAGTGCTGTTAGCGAGCACCTATGAAGGCCGGCACGGCACACGAGGGGGTGGGTGGCCAACACCACGCCCGGCCGTCTTTGTCTCCCCAGTTGCGATGTTTACAGAGTGCACCAGGTACTCATTTGAGGCTGAGTCGACCTAGGAGACGCCCAGGACCAGTTCGGATAATCGTCACCGGTGTTGGCCGTGAGCGAAAATCGAACTCGGGTCGCCGGGTTCGTAGCGCAACGTAACGCTAACCACTACACCACCGCTCCACACTCACAACCCACACACACACTACACACGCGCACACACACACACTACACACACACAGAACACACACCACACACGCACACACACGACCCACACACACACTACACACGACCCACACACACATTACACACGCGCACACACTCACAGCCCACACACACAACCCACCCACACCACACACGCACACACACACGACCCACACACACACGACCCACACACTACACACGCACTCACAACCCACACACCACACACACACACACTTACAACCCACACACACACCACACATGCACGCACACACCACACACTCACAGCCCACACACACTCACAACCCACACACACACACGCACACACACACTCACAACCCACACACCACACACGCACACACACGCACACACACTCACAACCCACACACACACACAACCCACACTCACAACCCACACACACACACGCACACACACACTCACAACCCACACACACTACACACGCACACACATGCGCCCCCACCCCCTGGCAGCATGCGTTTGTACAAAAGGGAGTCCCCGTGCAAGGCTCCTCTCACTAAACGGTGGGGTCGAGTGGGGGGTGGCGGAGGTTAATGTCGGGGGGGGGGGGGCAGGTTTTGGGAGTGTTTGTGAAGTTGCAGGTGTGTGGTGTACACGTGTTTGCAGTGTGGTGTAGTGGTGTGTGTGTGTGTACACACGCCTGTGTGTGTGCAGTGTGGTGTAGGTGTGTGTACACACGCATGTGTGTGTGTGCAATGTGGTGTATGGGTGTGTGTACACACGCCTGTGTGTGTGCAGTGTGGTGTAGGGGTGTGTGTACACACGGCTGTGTGTGTGCAGTGTGGTGTAGGTGTGTGTGTACACACGCCTGTGTGTGTGCAGTGTGGTGTAGGGGTGTGTGTACACACGCCTGTGTGTGTGTGCAGTGTGGTATAGGGGTGTGTACACACGCCTGTGTGTGTGTGCAGTGTGGTGTGTGTACACACGCCTCTGTGTGTGTGCAGTGTGGTGTAGGGGTGTGTACACACGCCTCTGTGTGTGTGCAGTGTGGTGTAGGGGTGTGTACACACGCCTGTGTGTGTGTGTGCAGTGTGGTGTAGGGGTGTGTACACACGCCTGTGTGTGTGTGCAGTGTGGTGTAGGGGTGTGTGTACACATGCATGTGTGTGTGCAGTGTGGTGTAGGGGTGTGTGTACACACGCCTGTGTGTGCAGTGTGGTGTAGGGGTGTGTGTACACACGCCTGTGTGTGTGTGCAGTGTGGTGTAGGGGTGTGTGTACACATGCATGTGTGTGTGCAGTGTGGTGTAGGGGTGTGTGTACACACGCCTGTGTGTGTGTGCAGTGTGGTATAGGGGTGTGTACACACGCCTGTGTGTGTGTGCAGTGTGGTGTAGGGGTGTGTACACACGCCTGTGTGTGTGTGCAGTGTGGTGTAGGGGTGTGTACACACGCCTCTGTGTGTGTGCAGTGTGGTGTAGGGGTGTGTGTACACATGCATGTGTGTGTGCAGTGTGGTGTAGGGGTGTGTGTACACACGCCTGTGTGTGTGTGCAGTGTGGTGTAGGGGTGTGTGTACACATGCATGTGTGTGTGCAGTGTGGTGTAGGGGTGTGTGTACACACGCCTGTGTGTGTGTGCAGTGTGGTATAGGGGTGTGTACACACGCCTGTGTGTGTGTGCAGTGTGGTGTAGGGGTGTGCACACACGCCTGTGTGTGTGTGCAGTGTGGTGTAGGGGTGTGTACACACGCCTGTGTGTGTGTGCAGTGTGGTGTAGGGGTGTGTACACACGCCTGTGTGTGCAGTGTGGTGTAGGGGTGTGTGTACACATGGCTGTGTGAGTGTGCAGTGTGGTGTAGGGGTGTGTGTACACATGGCTGTGTGTGTGTGCAGTGTGGTGTAAGGGTGTGTGTACACACGCCTGTGTGTGCAGTGTGGTGTAGGGGTGTGTGTACACACGCCTGTGTGTGTGTGTGCAGTGTGGTATAGGGGTGTGTACACACGTCTGTGTGTGTGCAGTGTGGTTTAGGGGTATGTGTACACACGGCTGTGTGTGTGTGGAGTGTGGTGTAGGGGTGTGTGTATACACGCCTGTGTGTGTGTGCAGTGTGGTGTAGGGGAGTGTGTACACATGGCTGTGTGAGTGCAATGTGGTGTAGGGGTGTGTACACACGTCTGTGTGTGTGTGCAGTGTGGTGTAGGGGTGTGTGTACACATGGCTGTGTGAGTGTGCAGTGTGGTGTAGGGGTGTGTGTACACACGCATGTGTGTGTGTGCAATGTGGTGTATGGGTGTGTGTACACACGCCTGTGTGTGTGTGCAGTGTGGTATAGGGGTGTGTACACACGTCTGTGTGTGTGCAGTGTGGTATAGGGGTGTGTGTACACACGGCTGTGTGTGTGTGGAGTGTGGTGTAGGGGTGTGTGTACACACGCCTGTGTGTGTGTGCAGTGTGGTGTAGGGGTGTGTGTACACATGGCTGTGTGAGTGTGCAGTGTGGTGTAGGGGTGTGTGTACACACGTCTGTGTGTGTGTGTGCAGTGTGGTGTAGGGGTGTGTGTACACATGGCTGTGTGAGTGTGCAGTGTGGTGTAGGGGTGTGTGTACACATGGCTGTGTGAGTGTGCAGTGTGGTGTAGGGGTGTGTATACACATGGCTGTGTGAGTGTGCAGTGTGGTGTAGGGGTGTGTGTACACATGGCTGTGTGAGTGTGCAGTGTGGTGTAGGGGTGTGTATACACATGGCTGTGTGAGTGTGCAGTGTGATGTAGGGGTGTGTGTACACATGGCTGTGTGTGTGTGCAGTGTGGTGTAGGGGTGTATGTACACATGGCTGTGTGAGTGTGCAGTGTGGTGTAGGGGTGTGTGTACACATGGCTGTGTGTGTGTGCAGTGTGGTGTAGGGGTGTGTGTACACATGGCTGTGTGAGTGTGCAGTGTGGTGTAGGGGTGTGTGTACACATGGCTGTGTGTGTGTGCAGTGTCCGGTAAAAACAAGCCCCTACCTCCTGGGTAGTGCTGGACGGTGCCGCTGTGCTGGATGTGAGCAATGCTACGAAGGGATCAGCCGATTGAATCGGCTTCATGGCACTTGGAGCCACCACAGCGGCCAACGGGGGCTCTGGACGTTCAATTTAATTAACAAAAAAACACTATATGAATATTTAACTAAGCTTGTGCCGGAGGCCCCGGGGGGGACAGGTTCCTGGCCAAACCCCATTTGGCGGAGCCAGGAGACTGAATTTTTACCCTCGGGGCTCCTCCAGAAATAACAAGAAAACCACTACGTGTGGCCACGTGGAATGTTCGAACGCTCACCGCGGAGGAGAGGCTGCCGCTGCTCTGTCGGGAGTTGAACCGTTACCGCCTGGATATCTGCGGTATTCAGGGGGCCGGCCCGGTGGCTCTGCATGCATCGTGTTGTTGAGCTGTTTAGATGCTTTGTGTGTTGACGTGTTTGTGTTGCAATGTTTCTGCCCTGTTTGTGCCGTTATCTTAATTGGCCGGGATTGACCTTTGAACCCAGCGACCCGAGTTCAATTGTTGTAATCAACCAACATCGGTGACCACTGGTCATGGGCATCTTCGAGGTTGACTTGGCCGTGAACGAACATGAAGCACAACCGCGTAAAACATCAGCCCCGGGGGAAGATGGAGGCGGACGGGCGCGATGCTGGCCACACGGCGCCGGCCTTAGTGGCCTTCGTTCGCTAGCAGCACGTGACGTCGGCGTTGCAACGACTGCCCGGGATGTCGCAGGGGAAGGTGCTGCTGCTGCTGCGGTGGCGAGATGTTGTCTGGATGGCCTGGTGTGCAGGAGGCCATGGGTTCAATCTCTGTTGTCTATTGTGAGTTTGAGTGTTCTCCACGTGGTGGCGTGGATTTTTCTCCGGGTCCTCTGGTTTTCCCCCCCACATTTAGAATCAACGTGCGTTTAGGGTATTTGGCTGCTAAAAATACCAAGGCGACAAGCCACTCCGTTGAGCTATCATTTGTGGCCAGGTCACTTCTGAAAAAAGCTGTCGAACTCGTGTGGAAATGTATGGCAGCCAGAGACTCTAAACGCGCGTTGATTCTAAATGTGGAGGGGACAAAGTGGAGTCCTCAGAAAAATCCACGCGACTGCGGGGAGATAGACACGCAGACTCTAAATATACAGGCGTCGGGATCGGGATCGAACCTACAACCTCCTGGACACCAAGTGAGGTAGTTAACATCTCACCACCGTGGCACCCTGAATCGGGGCGGCCACAGAGCTCGAACCGCGAAACTATCTGCCACAAGTGGTGGCCTTGTCACCAGCGGCAGGGTGTTGAAGGCTCCCTGCGGGGTCTTTGTGTCTCTGCACAGAGGATCAAGACCGCGATCCTGGCGGCGCTGGACAAGCCGAACTCCAAAACAGCAGACGAGGCTACGCGGAGATCCGTCAAAGGTCTCGCACACACACGCACACACACGCACACACACACACACGTGCACGCGCACGCACGCACACGTGTGCACACACACGCACACGTGCGCGCACACGCGCGCACACGCACACACACACGCACACACACACGCACACACGCGCGCACACCCACACTTGCGCTTGCACGTACAAACACATGCACGCGCACAAACACACGCACAAACACATGCACACGCACAAACACACACACGCACAAACACATGCACGCACAAACACACGCACAAACACATGCACATGCACAAACACACACACGCACAAACACATGCACGCACAAACACACGCACAAACACATGCACACGCACAAACACACACACGCACAAACACATGCACGCACAAACACACGCACAAACACATGCACATGCACAAACACACACACGCACAAACACATGCACACGCACAAACACACACACGCACAAACACATGCACACGCACAAACACATGCACACGCACAAACACACACGCACAAACACACGCACTCGCACAAGCACAATCGTTTCCCAATCTGCACGTCTCTTCGGACAACACGACACTCGTTTCTTTTCTTCTAGCACCACACCCAGGGTGCGTGCATGTGTTTGTGCGTGTGTGTGTGCATGTGTGTGTGTGCGTGCGTGCGCTGGGATGGGCCCCACGCCCATGGGGAGAGGGGGGGGTCTGTGCTCGTGAAGAGCGAGCGTGGTGCGGCGCATCTCGCGCCGTGCGGTGGAGAGCGGCCTGCAGGGGGAGATGCCTGCGAGCGATGCTCCATATGTGCACGCTCGGGCGCATACGCCTGGCCATGGAGGGTCAATGCCCATTGCACACGAGAGGTTGTTTTTGGGCTTAGATCGCGTAAATATAAATGTGTCGTTAAACCCGCCACCACCAGACGCAGACGAAAACAAAACGTGCCAATTCGTTCCTGGTTCAGCACGCACCGGTCGAGTGTTGGAGAGTTAAACCACCACATTTACAACTGGAGCACGCTGACGTTTTGCCCGGGAATTCCAACCAGCGGCCCCGTCGGGCGACAGCCCGAGTAGCTCACCGCACGGCCGTGAAGCCCCCGTCGTCGACGCTTCGGAGATGCAGCCAAACCGAATCAACGGAGACGCGTCGAGGTGGACGCGGTCGGAGTGTGTGTCACGGAGAGTCGACGGTGGCCGTGGTGAGACCATCGAGACGGCACACGGCAGGTGCCTGCGCAGCGCCACTCACGGCGCCACTCGCGGCCTCCTCTTGAGACCAAGATCCAGGATGGTCACGTCTTTCCGCCGCTTCTCGGTGGCAGCCCCAAACAGTCTGGAACGCTGTCCCTCTGCACCTCAATCGTCTCCTTCAAGAGAAAACTCACCTCTACAGCCACGCGCTTTCAAGCGACTCTGAGCTTGGCTCCGCGCCTCTGAGTTGCGGCCGTTACGTCCGCAAATTTGCGCGCGTTATAAATTGCATTATTATTATTGCGCTTGAGAACTCGTTTCAATCACAACCCAGTCCACACGAGTCGACAGATTTTTGTGTGAGTCTATGGGTCCTCTTTGTACGTCTATGGGTCTATGTGAGTACAGGTCTGTTCGGTGAGTCTAGGGGTCTCTATGTGAGTCTTCGGGTCTCTATGCGGGTCTACGGGTCTCTGTGTGAGTCTACATGCCTCTTTGTGAGTCTCCAGGTCTCTTATTTGTGAAAACGGGTCTCTATATGAGTCTACGGGTCTGTGCGGGTCTCTGTGTGAGTCTATGGGTCTGTGTGAGTCTATGGGTCTGAGTCTATGGGTCTCTGTGTGAGTTTACGGGTCTCTGTGTGAGTCTACGGGTCTGTGTGAGTCTATGGGTCTGAGTCTACGGGTCTCTGTGTGAGTCTACGGGTCTCTGTGTGAGTCTATGGGTCTCTGTGTGAGTCTATGGGTCTGTGTGAGTCTATGGGGCTGAGTCTATGGGTCTCTGTGTGAGTTTACGGGTCTCTGTGTGAGTCTACGGGTCTGTGTGAGTCTATGGGTCTGAGTCTATGGGTCTTTGTGTGAGTCTACAGGTCTCTGTGTGAGTCTATGGGTTTTAGTCTATGGGTCTCTGTGTGAGTCTACGGGTCTCTGTGTGAGTCTACGGGTCTCTGTGTGAGTCTATGGGTCTGAGTCTACGGGTCTCTGTGTGAGTCTACGGGTCTCTGTGTGAGTCTACGGATCTCTGTGTGAGTTTATGGATCTCTGTGTGAGTCTATGGGTCTGAGTCTACGGGTCTCTATGTGAGTCTACGGGTCTCTGTGTGAGTCTACGGTCTCTGTGTGAGTCTATGGGTCTGAGTCTACGGGTCTCTGTGTGAGTTTATGGGTCTCTGTGTGAGTCTATGGGTCTCTGTGTGAGTCTATGGGTCTCTGTGTGAGTCTATGGGTCTCTGTGTGAGTCTATGGGTCTCTGTGTGAGTCTACGGGTCGCTGTGTGAGTCTATGGGTCTGAGTCTACGGGTCTCTGTGTGAGTCTACGGATCTCTGTGTGAGTCTATGGGTCTGAGTCTACGGGTCTCTGTGTGAGTCTACGGGTCTCTGTGTGAGTCTACGGGTCTCTGTGTGAGTCTATGGGTCTGAGTCTACGGGTCTCTGTGTGAGTCTATGGGTCTACTCGAGTACAGCTCTCAGTGAGTCTGCAGATGTCAGTGTGAGGTTCTAGAACCCAGTGCAATCGCTGTTGGTGGGTGGCTGATGAGCCCTGAGCATGCAAGCCAGGATCCCAGCAGGGTCCACGGATCGGCATCCCTCGCTCACGCGCAGCCCCGGTGTGGGCGCAAGCTTCTCGAGTGCCGCGCTAGCGCCCTCTCGCGATGCCGGGGGCGGCGCACGGCCACTCTGCGAGGAACACGTCGCGTCCCGCGCCAATAGCACCACCGCGTGGCCTCGAAATGAAACAATAGGCGACGTTTTGGACAAATGGCCCTTTCTGCGGGGCAATTTACATCTGTCTCCTCCACCGGGATGTTGGCGAATGTGGACCGAGCTTTCAATAGCCATTCTTTTGTGGTTGTGTGTGGTGTGTGTGTGTGGGGAGCGGTGGTGCAGCGGTTAGTGCTACGCTGCGCTACGAACCCGGCGACCCGGGTTCGATTCCCGCTCACGGCCAACACCGGTGACGATTATTTGAACCGGTCCTGGTGCTGGCCACCCACCCCCTCGTGTGCCGTGCCGACCTTCATAGGTGCTCGCCAACAGCGCTTGTCCCAACAGTATGTTAAGGCTACACGGGGGATCTTTGTGTGTGTAGTGTGTACGTCTCGATTTAAAGCTTTCGTGACTGCAGAGATTCATCTTCTTGGTTCTTTTGGTAAAGTCACGTAGAAGGGAAGTAATAAAATAATAAAAATAAAACATAATAAAATAATTCTCACGACGTTTCGGCCACAACGCAAGCAGCCGTCCTCAGGTGTAGAAACAGGTCTGTCGAGAAGACAGCATCTGAATGACAAGCCCCAGGGTTGGAGCGTCTATTTAAGCTAGGTTGGAGGGGGAAGGTGCGCCTTAACAAAATAATTAGCATATCAATAGGAATTTAGCATATTTATGGGAAATGCAGATATGGGATTCGTACTACTTGTGAAGTGCGTAGGAGGTGGGAAGGGGGTTTAAAGTCATTATGCCCGTGCATTATGCAGGATTAGCAGAATCAAAGGGAGGGGGTAGGAGTAGCATTAATGAAGTGAAGGAATGTTAATAGTATGTAGCTGCAGTAACTCAACCACCACGTAAACAACTAAAGTATAAACTACATAGTATCATCAGTATACTAAATATACTCTCCAATAAGCTGAGTAAGTATCACATTATAATTCTATGTCGCAAAATTATAATGTGCTTCCAGCTGAACTTTATTCTCTTACATCACACGAGTCTACACCGTGCTATATACTGCCATAGACAAACCCAACATTAAATTACATACTGTATTGCTATAAATCACCCTATAACTTATACATTGTAATATTACACTATGTATTATTCTACCCACCCTACTGTATATCACACTGCTGTATATTCACTATACAATTATGATACTATATATTACTTTATACATTGTATTAAACATGACAATTTTATACTATTTATTATTATACAATCCGCTATACACTGTACCATTGACCGTCGCGTGAATGATACTAAGAGGAAGCAATGAAATATGTCAATGGGAGAGTGGTGGTGGGAGGCTTGCAGCGGAGCAAAGAATCCATTCCCTGCGGAGAATACAAGATATATAGTCAAAAACGTGAGACAAATTGGGGATGACCCTGCCGAGGCTGCGGTGCCTCAAATATTGGAAGAAGAAATCACCCCCTGTGAGTGGCTGGCTGAGGTGCCATCTGTTGAGGAAGTACTGAAGGCGATCCAGAATCTGAGACCAGGAAAGGCACCGGGCAGAGATGATCTCCCAAGCGAGATGCTGAAGGAGGGTGGCGTTTGTGCACAAACTGCCCTACATGACATCATAACAACAGTCTGGACCACTGGACGGGTTCCGCAGGATTGGAAGGATGCCCTGGTGGTCCTCCTCTTCAAGACTGTAACAACTCAGTGTGCCGGGAAAGGTAACCTGCTTGTGTGTCTCTCGTGTGTGTGTGTGTCTCTCGTGTGTGTGTGTGTCTCGTGTGTGTGTGTGTGTGTCGTGTGTGCGGTGGTGGTGCAGGTTACGGGCTGCACGCCCTGCGGTTGAACGCCGTCGACCGCGTGTTTGGTGGGGAGCTCATCAACATCATCACGTGCAACAAGTGCAGGACGGTGAGGTCTCCCCGTCACATCGCCACGTCACGGCACATCGTCACATCGCCGCCACAACACATCCCAGCGCGTGACACGACGTCACGTCACGGACACAATCGCATCGACGCGACGCGTGACGAGTTCGTGTGTCTCCGCAGATTGTACGGGTCGCGGAGCCCTTCCTGGACCTCTCCCTGCCCGTCATCGACAATGTGGTGCCTCGCCTCCTCATCACCTCTTCCTCACCACACCCTCACCTTAGCTCCCCCTCACCACCTCTTCTACACCCCCTCACCACCTCCACACCTCAATTTTAGACACTCTGTGCGGTACACGTCGTGGTCGTTGTTGTGGTCGTTGTTGTCGTTGTTGTGGTGGTGCTGGTGGTGGGTTTTTCTGCCCACCCTGCACACACTCGCTCACAAACAGACAAAGACAAAGATTCCCCAAGTAGTCTATGCAGGCTCTTAGGGAAAGTGCTGTTGGCGAGTGCCTATGAAGTCCGACATGGTTAGACCTTTGTTTGCCCAGTGATGATTTTTACACACCACACCACGTGCTCATTCTAGGCCCAGTCAGCCGAGGGGGAAGTCCCCAGGATCGGTTCAGATCATTTCCAGTGATGTTGGCTGTGCATGCGAATCGAACTCTGATCGCCGGGTTCGCTGCGCAGTGCAGTAACTAACCACCGTGCCACCGCTCCCCACGCGCACTGGCATAGCGCAAGCACGCACACACCAGGCACACTCGCTTTCAATCCGCTCACTTTGACCGCGCGTGCATCCGCGCAGGCGAGCCGGCCGACCAGCAAGAAGGCCCGGGCTGTGGAGGAGGAGGTGGAGGAGAGGGGGGGTCGTGAAAGGGGGGAGGACGAGGTCACGGGGTCACGGAGGAGGGGATCCTCCCCCACTCTTCCCCCGGCCCCCCAGAGCAAGTTCCAAGAGAAGAAGGCGAAGAAACAGGCACGGCAGCAAGCCAAGGTGACATGGGGGGGGGCGGGGGGGGGGGGGGGAGGCGCAGTGGTTGAGAGACAGTGAGGGTGGTTACAGGTGCTCGTCGTGAGAGGACAAGCACGCCACGGGCGTCGAGGGGGTAGCGCAGCATTGTGGGTGGCAGAGTGCATTGTGGGCCCGACACGGACACGATGAGGCGGCGCGAGTGGCACGGACGTCACAACACATCCTTGTGCTGTGTCCTCACTCAGCGTTGTGTGTGTGTGTGTGCGTGTGTGCGTGCGTGCGCATGTGTGTGTGCGTGCGTTTGTCGCTCTCAGTCGATGCGGCGCCAGCAGAAGCACCAGCGGAAGCTGTTCCCCATGGGAGCCGAGACTCCGAGTGGGGATCCTGACTCCTCGACCACCGACACAACCGTCACCAACAACATCAAGCAAGAGGACGAAAATGATATTCATGTTGACAACGAGAGTGCTGCTGATGCTGCTGCCACTGCTGACGATCAAGATGATGATGATGATGGCGATGCTGATGATGTTGCTGCTGACGAAGATGTTGCTGATGCTGCTGATGAAGATGCTGCTGATGAAGATGGTCCTGCTGCTGATGAAGATGCTGCTGCTGCTGATGAAGATGCTGCTGTTGTAGAAGCGCCGAACCTCGCAGACTCGCAACGGACTCGCCGCACGGTCGACTCCCAGCGTCCCGAGCGCCCCGGGCATGAGCCGCCTGGGGTTGTGACCCGATCTTCCATGCGCGCAGTCATGGCGCAACTCGGCAACCTGCAGCTCCACGACGGGGACGGGGGGGAGGGGGGCGAGACGCGGGAAGAGGACGATGGGTGCGGAGAAAAGGGGGAGAGAGAGGTGACGGAGAGGCTACAGGACGCGGGAGATGACGGCGGTGGGAGTGGTTGTGGACCGGCAGTGTCGCCAGAGGATGTAAAGATCAGCGTGGACGAGGTAACCAAGGTGGAGGAGGAGGAGGAGGAAGAGGATGAGGATGAGGAGGACGAGGAGGATGAGGATGAGGAGGAGGAGCCGATGAAGAGCTCGTCGAGGGACACGAGGATGCGGAGACGCAAGGACGAGGCACTCTCGTTTGGCAGCGACGAGGAAAGTGAGGAATAGCAAACGCTTGGCAACGCAGCCCCACGGTTCAAACGCAGCCACGCACGGAGAGGGGGGGTATGGTGCGGGTGTGGTGGGTGTGGTGTGTTGTGTGTAGGTGTGAGTGTGGTGTGTGATGTGTGCAGTACGGGGCGCGGTGGCTTAGCGGTTAGCGCGCTGTTACTTGAGCACAATCCCATTACCGACTGTATTACTCCAGCACCACAGTTGCTGTGTGTCTCTGTTACTCGAGCCCCACTCTCTAGCCGAGCGCACCCCGGAGTCGTCGCAGCGTCCCTGGCCATCCCAGGAAGCGTCCCCGTGTCTGCCTCTTGTCCCGTACGCAGCGCGCCTCGTGGCGGTGGCGGTGGGCGACCCGGTGGAGACCCTGGCGGAGCCCCCCGCCGTTCCGCCAGACCGCGCCTCCCTCCTCGGCTGCCTCCTGCGGTTCACAGCCCCGGAGCAGCTGACTGGGAGCAATATGCTCCTGTGTGAGCACTGCTCACGGAAAGGTGATCACTCCTCCTCGCTCACTACACTCGCTACGCTTACACACACACATCACCACTACTAACACACTCACTACGCTAACACACACAACACCCATCACCCCTAACACTCGCTACTCAAACTCACTACGCTAACACACACACACACCCATCACTACTAACACACACTACTCACACTCACTACGCTTACACAACACCCATCACCCCTAACACACACTACTCACACTCACTACGCTTACACACACACACACCCATCACTACTAACACACACTACTCACACTCACTACGCTTACACAACACCCATCACCCCTAACACACACTACTCACACTCACTACGCTAACACACACACCCATCACCACTAACACACACTACTCACACTCACTACGCTTACACAACACCCATCACCCCTAACACACACTACTCACACTCACTACACTCACTACGCTTACACACACACACACACCTCGACTCACCGTCACGGCTCACCATCACTACTCGCACTGACTGCTCACACTCACTAACACTCAATGCTCTTGTAGCCATTGACTCGGAGACACTGAGAGTTGGAGGTGCTCTGTTTACTTAGCACGGCCTAACAAGTTAACACTTCCAGTAACTCGTCTTTAGCGGACTACGGTTCCCAGTCAGGACAGCCGCTAGGCTGCCTGACTGGCGACGCCGAGACGGTGAAGACGGAGACGGCGGTGAGGACTCCGGCAGCAGCGCGACGGGACGCCACTCCACGCGACAGCCCCGAGCTCCCCTCACGGGGCTCCCCTACCCCGAGCTCCCCTCCCGGGGCCCCTCTTATACCGCCGGCGTGGCCTGGCTCCACCCATGGCCACGCCCCCTTTCTGGAACCTACCAGCGGGTTCCTCGTGTGCCCCTTCCGTGACCTTTGCCCTAGATCCCCCTCTGGTCTACCACGTGGCCTGCTGACGATCAGGGCTGCTGTAAGCTGCAGATCCCCTCCCCTGCCAGCAGCCGGCGCTCTGCTGCTACGTGACAGATTCTATGTCACTACACTGTTAGTACAGGGTGTACAACGAGTGGTGAGCGTGGTGAGTGTGTGTGTGGTAGTGAGCGTGGTGGTGAGCGTGGTGAGTGTGTGTGTGTGGTGAGCGTGGTGAGTGTGTGTGTGTGGTGAGTGTGTGTGGTGGTGAGTGTGGTGAGTGTGTGTGTGTGGTGAGCGTGGTGAGTGTGTATGTGGTGGTGAGTGTGTGTGGTGGTGAGCGTGGTGAGTGTGTGTGTGGTGGTGAGTGTGTGTGTGGTGAGCGTGGTGAGTGTGTGTGGTGGTGAGCGTGGTGAGTGTGTGTGTGGTGGTGAGTGTGTGTGGTGGTGAGCGTGGTGAGTGTGTGTGTGGTGGTGAGTGTGTGGTGGTGAGTGTGTGTGGTGGTGAGCGTGGTGAGTGTGTGAGTGTGTGGTGGTGAGTGTGTGGTGGTGTGTGTGTGTGTGTGGTGGTGAGCGTGGTGAGTGTGTGTGTGTGTGGTGGTGAGCGTGGTGAGTGTGTGTGTGTGGTGGTGAGCGTGGTGAGTGTGTGTGTGTGTGGTGGTGAGCGTGGTGAGTGTGGTGAGTGTGTGTGTGGTAGTGTGCGTGGTGGTGAGCGTGGTGAGTGTGTGTGTGTGGTGAGCGTGGTGAGTGTGTATGGCGTGGTGAGTGTGTGTGTGGTGGTGAGTGTGTGTGGTGGTGAGCATGGTGAGTGTGTGTGTGGTGGTGAGTATAGTGAGTGTGTGTGTGGTGGTGAGTGTGTGGTGGTGAGCGTGGTGAGTGTGTGTGGTGGTGAGTGTGTGTGGTGGTGAGTGTGTGTGGTGGTGTGTGGTGGTGAGTGTGTGTGGTGGTGAGCGTGGTGAGTGTGTGTGTGTGTGGTGGTGAGTGTGTGGTGGTGTGTGTGTGTGTGGTGGTGAGCGTGGTGAGTGTGTGTGTGTGTGTGGTGGTGAGCGTGGTGAGTGTGTGTGTGGTGGTGAGCGTGGTGAGTGTGTGTGTGTGTGGTGGTGGGCGTGGTGAGTGTGGTGAGTGTGTGTGGTGAGCGTGGTGAGTGTGTGTGGTGGTGAGTGTGTGTGGTGAGCGTGGTGAGTGTGTGTGGTGGTGAGTGTGTGTGGTGGTGAGTGTGTGTGGTGAGCGTGGTGAGTGTGTGTGGTGGTGAGCCTGGTGAGCGTGGTGAGTGTGTGTGTGTGTGGTGGTGAGCGTGGTGAGTGTGTGTGTGTGGTGGTGAGCGTGGTGAGTGTGTGTGTGTGTGTGGTGGTGAGCGTGGTGAGTGTGGTGAGTGTGTGTGTGGTAGTGAGCGTGGTGGTGAGCGTGGTGAGTGTGTGTGTGTGGTGAGCGTGGTGAGTGTGTATGGCGTGGTGAGTGTGTGTGTGGTGGTGAGTGTGTGTGGTGGTGAGCATGGTGAGTGTGTGTGTGGTGGTGAGTATAGTGAGTGTGTGTGTGGTGGTGAGTGTGTGTGGTGGTGAGCGTGGTGAGTGTGTGTGGTGGTGAGTGTGTGTGGTGGTGAGTGTGTGTGGTGGTGTGTGGTGGTGAGTGTGTGTGGTGGTGAGCGTGGTGAGTGTGTGAGTGTGTGGTGGTGAGTGTGTGGTGGTGTGTGTGTGTGTGGTGGTGAGCGTGGTGAGTGTGTGTGTGTGTGTGGTGGTGAGCGTGGTGAGTGTGTGTGTGGTGGTGAGCGTGGTGAGTGTGTGTGTGTGTGTTGGTGAGCGTGGTGAGTGTGGTGAGTGTGTGTGGTGAGCGTGGTGAGTGTGTGTGGTGGTGAGTGTGTGTGGTGAGCGTGGTGAGTGTGTGTGGTGGTGAGTGTGTGTGGTGGTGAGTGTGTGTGGTGAGCGGCGTGGTGAGTGTGTGTGGTGGTGAGCGTGGTGAGCGTGGTGAGTGTGTGTGTGTGTGTGGTGGTGAGCGTGGTGAGTGTGTGTGTGTGGTGAGCAGCAGGCAAGAAGGGGAGGGTGTACACCGAGGGTACCAAGCGGATCCTGGTCTCGTCACTGCCTCCTGTACTAACCCTGCACCTCAAGCGCTTCCAGCAGGTGAGGGTGAGGTGGGGCGGGGGGTTGCCGTGGCGATTATGGTTGTTGGTGTGATGGCGGCAGGCGGTAGTGGTGGTGTTGATGATGGCTTTGGTGGTGATGGTGATGGTGGAAGTAACAATGGATGTTGTTGTGGTGGTGGTGATGGTGGTGGTGTTGGTGATGGCTTTAGAGGTGATGGTGATGGTGGTTGTGGAACTAACAATGGCTGTAGTTGTGGTGGTGATCGTGGTGGTTGTGATGTTAGTAGTGACCGTCCAGCACAGACATATTCTCTGCCTGAGAAGAGGTCACGGGACAGACCCAACAGGACCTACGTCTCTGCTTTAGTAGCCTAGTCAAGGCCCATGACACCATCAATAGGCCAAGGCTCTGCCCAGGTTCTTTGTGCTTTGCGGGTCCATGACTCTGCTCACAGTCATGATGGTGGGCAGGCCTGGGTAAAGCCGCGTGACCGGGAGTTAGAACCATTCCCTGTTCACCTCGGGGTGTGATGCATTCTGGCCCGTACACTATTTTACATCTTCTGTGACGATGTAGTTCTAGAAGCTCTCCATGGCTTTACCAGAGGAATTTCCGTCTGATGCATATACAATGGGAGGTAGATCGATGCCGGAATGCAGTCAAGGGATGGCTCCCTATTGGTAAACCATGTTATGTAAGCTGATGATCTGGTAATTGCTGCTCACTCTGAGGAGTTGGAGATGCTCCTGCTGATCCTGGAGTGTGCTACTAAGAGAACTTTACTATTGCCGCATCAAACACTCCACCCCCTCCATGATAACTAGTCCACCACCTGGCAGAGGCGACGAGTAAGGGTTGTCACGTTAACAAAATCATGACACTTCGTTACTGGTACAGCACACCGGTGTGTGTTGGAGAGTAAACCCACTGCTACATTTACAATTTGATTACCGTGACATTTTACCGGTATTTACAACAACAACCACCAGCATCATCAGGCGACAGCCAGAGTTGTGGACAAATCCTTCTGTTTCGATCTTAAATAGAGGGATGAATGTGATGTTGCACTTGTGAGCCAATCATAAGGGGGGTGGGGGTTAATGTATGCATATAAATGGCATTCCACATGAGTGACGGGGCCGTTGTGGAGAGAGTGGAGAAGCTGCCATATCTGAGCAGTGTGCTCATGACCGGATCCGGTTTGGCACTTTGAATAATTAGAGTGACATCTTTTCATAGTGTGGAAGCTGCCTGGCCTGTCGCTCCATAAAAAGCTCTGGGTCGTCTCGGCCACAGTCATACGCTCCCTTCTGTACGCTTGCGAAACGTGGAGCTCTTTGAAGGAACATCTGCACCGGTTTGAAACATTCAGTCCGGGCCTGCCTACGATCCATCCTGGGTTAACTCGACTGCATCATCGTGAGGATTCTCACAGATCCTCGAAAGATCTGAGCACAGTCCAATCAGTGAGCTCCTCCGACAGGCGAGGCTGCGTTGGCTGGGTCACGTGGCCCGCATGCCCGGCCACCGTGTGCCCGGCCACCGCGTGCCCTAGCAGCTTCTGTTTGGCCCAATAGAGGGGGCTAAACGGGCTGGTGGGAGGCAGTCGCCCTTCGGCAACGTCGGAGGGCAGAGGAGGGATGCTCACGACAACGAGCGAAGCGCTGGGTGACCAAAACGCAGAAAGTTGGCAACATTGGTGAGCACCGGTGGTGCATCGGCCAGTCATCTCGGTCAGCCCATGGTACCTGGCTCTGTCCCCACCGTGACCTCTTGTCAGCGAGCCTTCCACACTCTAAGCGACCTCAGGGTGCACCTAGCCTGACACAGTTGCCGTGGTGATTTCACCGCCGCGTGCTGTTGGTGGTTGTGATGTCGGCTGTGGTTGTGCCAGGCTGGATTCGGGCTACAGAAGGTGAACAGACGCGTGGAGTTCGACGACACGCTGGACATGGCGCCTTTCTGCATCAAACCCTGCCAGGTGAGCGCACGCTCGCAAACAAAGACAAAGATCCCCCATGTAGCCTGAACAGATTGTCGGGGCAAGTGCTGTTAGCGAGTAGCAGCACCTGTGAAGGCCGGCACTGTGGCACACGAGGGGGTGGGTGGCCAGCACCACGCCCGGCCGCCTTTGTCTTCCCATAGTGGCGATGTTTACACACCGCACCAGGTACTCATTTGAAGCCAAGTCGACGCGCGCTCACACACACAACACACACAACAACAACCGCCCTTCACCACTAAGTGGCGGTGACATCACCACGGTGCTTGTGCCAGACTGTGTGTACTTTAAGGCCACGCAAAGACAAATATCCCCCGTATAGCCTGAACAGACTGTCGGGTCAAGTGCTGTTAGCGAGTACCTATGAAGGCCGGCACGGCACACGAGGAGTGGGTGGCCAGCACCACGCCCGGCCACCTTTGTCTCCCCAGTGGCGATGTTTACACACTGCACCAGGTACTCATTTCAAGCTGAATCGACCTAGGGGAGGCCCAGGACAGATTCAGATAGTCGTCACTGCTGTTGGTTAGGAGCGAGTTGCTGGATTAGGAGTGCAGTGTGCTAACCACTGCGCCACCGCTCTCCCACACACACATGTCCCACTCTTGCCAGAGGAGCTCACCCACGTGTCCAGATATTTCACGGGTTTGTGAGGCCCCTCGCACAATCCGGTCTGGTTAAACCAGGTTGTTCACCCGGGTTCGATTCACGCTCACGGCCAACACCAGTGACGATTATCTGAAGCGGTCCTGGGCCTCCCCTAGGTCAACTCGGCCTCAAATGAGTACCTGGTGCGGTGTGTAAACATCACCACTGGGGAGACAAAGGCGGCCGGGCGTGGTGCTGGCCACCCACCCCGGCGTGTGCCGTGCCGGCCTACACAAGTGCTGCTCGCTGACAGCACTTGCCCCGACAGTCCGTTTCTACGAAGGCCGGACGGGTGTCTGTGTTGCGTGTGGAGGCTGCGTGTGGTGGGCGAGCAGGCCCGGCGGGGCGGGGCGAGAAGTACTCGCTCTACGGGGTGGTGGAGCACAGCGGCACGATGCGCGGGGGCCACTACACGGCCTACGTCAAGACACGGCCGGAGCGGCCCGCGGCGGGGCCTGGGGAGAGCAGCGGCCCCGGTGAGCGCACGACGGCTCGAGAGATGACGCGGAAAGCGTGGTCAGACGTGACGCCACACGCTGTCACGTCACGTGCCGTCACGTCATGCCGTCACGTCACGCTGTCACATCACGCTGTCACGTCACGCTGTCACATCACGCTGTCACGTCACGCCATCACACCACACGCCATCACACACCACACGCTTTCATGCCACACGCTTCACACCGCACATCACCCCGCACGCATCACGTCACGCCCCGCGTGTGTCACACCACACACGTCACACACCACACAACACATTGCAATTTGTGCCACACGTAACACCACACACCACACCACGCGTCACACCACGCATCACACCACCGCAACGTCACACCACCGCACGTCACACCTCGTGTCACGCTACACCGTACGTCAAGCCACACGTCGCCACAGGTGTGCCTTGACGTGTGGTGTGACGTGTGACCTGTGGTGTGACGTGACACGTGGTGTGACGTGACACGTGGTGTGACATGACATGTGGTGTGACATGACCTGTGGTGTGACATGACATGTGGTGTGACATGACACGTGGTGTGACGTGTGACCTGCGGTGTGACGTCCCGTGGTGTTGTGCCGTTCCAGGCCAGCAGCAGCAGCAGCAGGAGGGGGGGGCATGGTTCTACGTGAGCGACTCCCACGTGCGCGCCGCCTCCCTGGAGCAGGTGCTCGCGTGCCAGGCCTACCTGCTCTTCTATGAGCGGGCGGGCGAGTGAGCTCCAGGGACTCGCACGGCGTGCACGGCACGCCCGACTCCGTGCGTGCGTGCGTCCGTCCGTCTGTGCGTTTTTGCCGAATGCGGTCTGTTCATCCGTTGGTCTGGACTTTGTGCTTCTCTCCCGACAGTCCATCTCTCTGTCAGTCTGTCCATCCATTTACCTGACGGTCTGTCCTCAAGTCAGCGCTGTCCATCCATCCGCTCGTCCGTCTGTGCCTCACAGCCACTTGGTTGATCCATCTGCCAGTCTCTCCATCCGCCCGTCTTGTATGTACGGCTGTCTGTCGGGCCAGCGGTGACCGGCACTCACCAACTCTCACCCTCTCGTCTACTGGCTAACTTCACTCGCTTAGCTCGCCCACGGACAGAAAACCAAATGACGCTTGACCCATTGACCCGTGTGAGACGTACGTGACGGTGTACTGGGGTCACGACCCTGTCTCCTGGCAGGTCAGTCACTCATTCGCACCCGTCCTGCAATAATGACGATCACGGTGACGATGACCGATAGCCATACAAAGGGACAAAGGCCCGCATCGCGAGCACATGATGTATTTGTATTTCTTTTTAAACCGAGTTTTAAGAATAATTATGATTCTGGGCATCTCTGGCAATCACTGGATTGATTCAAATAAAATAAAGATAAGTTTGATGACCGTGTGTGTGTGTGTGCTTGTTGCCATTGTGTACGTGGTGGTGGCGGTGGTGGTGGCGACGAGTCAATCGCTCGTGCACGCGAATCAGTGTGAACACGCCGCCGCTGATGTCTTCACTCATTGTGAAAGAGGAATGATACGGAGATCCACTCTTGCTTCCGAACGGAGTTGGATAGCAGCAAGTTAAGATCAAGTCTTTAATCCGCTGCTATTAATCCAGCCGCGTGGCACTCTCGCGACGGCGTTCGTAAAGAAACGCTCGCCAGAGCTCCCACCGCATGCCCCACGTCGTGGTGGTGGTTTAGAACGTTGTGATTGTCGCTGCGACGTGGTTACGGTTAGTCAAATGGCTGCGAATATAATGTGGCTGGGGGGGGGGGTTTGTTGTTTTGGTTACAAATGCGGTGGTTGTGATTGTGGTTATTGTAATGCTGTAGTTGGTGGGTGTATCGCCGATATGGGGGGGGGGGGGGGGTGTTTTAGTCATGGCCGATGCGTCCGTTACGGTTGCGGTTCTAATGTGGTTGTAGTTTATTCTATCGCTTCAATTGCGGCTGTAAAATAGTTGTGCAGCTGTTGGCAATATTTATCCATGTGGTGTTGATGGCATTAATATTGTTGACGTTCATACACACTTATTGTTTATACTCATGTCAACAGTAATCTAATGGTCGATGTCATTATGGATATTATTACTGTGACATTGTCAAATCGTTGACGTTGATATAGAAACGTAATTGTTGTTGTTGATTGAAAGCAGGCCAGAGAGTGCTATTGGGAGGCAAGAGCAGGAAACGCAAATCGCTTGAGGTTCACTTGAAGATGAAAGTTGAGTCCCGGGCGGGCGGGCGGGCGGGCCGTCAACATTCTCTCAGTCCGAGTGGCGATTGGCAGCAGGGATTAATTGCAGTCTCCTCCACAAGAACACACCATTCCCACAATGCACCCTTGTTTCAGCAACGTTTTGTTATTGCACGTTCTACCTTTGATATCAACATTCGTTTATTGAGTCGAATGTTGATCTCCTTTCACACCGTACGTAGACAACCGTGCGGAGGTGCGATTATTGAAAGTTTATTTTTCTCTTGGACGCAAAAGCTATTATCATTATTAGACGACTAACCGTACACGGCAAAAGCTCTGTTATCCGCCGTCCATGTGGAAGGGAGGGTGCCGGTTAATCAGATGTGCCAGTTATCTGAGAGTTACACTTCCGGTTTTGCCAAATTTTCCAAGCAGATCAAACGTTAAAAGAAAGAAACGTGAGCCTACATTTTAACTATCATATATATATAAGACGTACTGCTTTACAGAGGTACTCAGGAGTGAGTTGTCGAGTATTCTAAAGTTCACTGTAGAGAAGTAGTGGGGCCTTCAGAGTACAGTAGTTCAGTACTGTATGTACAGGCTGCCGCTAGTGCCACCACTCGGCAGCATCCTGAAGCTTCTGTAAAAACAACAACGGGTCCTATGATGTCTGCACGTTGAACTTCTTTCACACCGTACGTAGCCAACTGTGCTAATCTGAGGTGCAGGGGGAAGGACAATAAACTCAACACAAGAAGCAGTTCTAAAGAAATTAGTTTTCAATGTAAATGGTTTAAGTGTAGAAATCCAGTTGCTTCCTAATATCGGAAGAAAGAGCGTTCCAGACGGCCACGGAAGTGCATCTTTGTTCGATAGCCAAACGCCGCTGCGAGGATGACCAGAGCTCACATGATGGTTGATGCTCCTTGACGACGTCAGCAAGGTATTGTGGTTCGTTTGTGGCAAGCACTTTGTGCGTAATGAGCACGACGTTATACAAGGACTCCTCGACTTGATGAACGAGTTAGGTCCCAGAGGTCTGTTCGTAAATCGATTTGTTTGTAAGTCCAACTTTACTCCTGTCGATTTCAAACATGTACAGCATATGCACTAAACACGGGGAATGGCTTTAAAAGTTGTATCATCTCTTGTAGATGTAGATGCCACTGGTTCTTCACGTTCTGCAGATGTAGATGCCACTGGTTCTTAACACTCTGAAGATGTAGATGCCACTGGTTCTTAACGCTCTGAAGATGTAGATGCCACTGGTTCTTCACGCCCTGAAGATGTGGATGCCACTGGTTCTTCACACTCTGAAGATGTCGATGCCACTGGTTCTTCACGTTCTGCAGATGTAGATGCCACTGGTTCTTCACGCTCTGCAGATGTAGATGTCACCACCGCCATCTATTGCGCGGTGGTCAAACTCACGACTCTCGGTCCGAACAGGCAACTGGACATATGGACAGGTTTGTTCGTATCTCTGAAAATTCGTAAGTCGAATGTTCGTTAGAAGAGTCCCTGTAATAGATTATTTCGGCAATCGGATGTCAATGCAGTTCTGCGAACACTTAACTGACAGTCAGATCTTGCAGTACCCCTTCACGGCGCTTGCCAGAGAATGTTGTACACGCTGCAGCTTGGTGATGTTTTTTGCCAGTCGTCCCGTAGAGTAGTGAGTTGCAATAATCGAGCCTCGTCGACACGACGCTACACGCCACCGTGTTGGGCTGTCACGACTCAACAGTGTTTGAATGTGTCCGTAGAGCCCTGATATGAACACTGCAGAACTTGCCATTTTTCATAAATCAACATTTTTGGGTTAGATCGCGTTATTTATAAATGTGTCGTAACCCTCCACCATCCGACACGGCCAATTAGCAAAAAAGTGTCACGTTGACAAAAGACAAATAGTTCACTGCTTTAGCCCACCGGTGTGTTGAAGTGTGAAACCACAACATTTACAACTACTGGTGCTGACGTTTTGCCACTCATTGGGTTCCAGTGAACTTGGGGTGCCGGGTTAAGTTTGTAAAAAAAAAAACTTTCCGTCAATTTAAACACAAGCCCAATAAATGTTTTGTCTGGAGGTTTTACGTGATATAAACATTGATGTCCTGCTCGCTTGAGTATTGAGGCATTCTCCTGGTTACAGCCATGCACATCCAGCGGTGGGAATTCCTCGTTCGTATGACGGGGGCGAGTCTATATCGTAGGCCAACCATCGTTGATATCCCCACAAAGTGGTGCTTTGACTTTATCAACCTTCACCCCCGGAAGGAGAGATGATGGGTTGTCGACTCCAGCGCCCCCATCCAGGATTGAACTCGCGACTTTCCGCGTGTAAACCTACTCGCTCGACCCCCCAGAACCACGTGGTTTTTCTCAAGGGCTCTGTGCTCCCGTGTGCCGTCACGCTACTCGCAACTCAAATTCTCAGCCCGCTCGACGGGTCCACGTGGTTGAACAGCCGCGAGTCGCATCACAAAAAAAGAAACAAAAAAAACCGAATTCAACATTCAAACGGCTCTGTGTACAAAACGGAATTTATTACAAGCGCCCATCGCCAGCCAGAGAAACCAACACCAACGATATCCAGGGTCGTCCATGGAGGGGGCGGACGGGTGCAAGGCCCGGGGAACAATGACATTTGCGTAGGGGTTCCCCAAAGCGCAGGGCCCGGGGCAGTCGCCCCCAATTTGCGCGTGCCCCCTCGGGATGGCCCCGATGATAGCTGCAACCCCGAGGGAGGCGTTATCTTTTAAAGACCTTTCAAACCATCTGGACGTCACGTGACGTAACGTACGAACGAACGTTGAACTTCTATGGCACCCGTACGTAGCCAACCGTGCTAATCGGAGGTGCGGGGGGGGACAAGACAAACTAAACATCTTCACGGATATTGGCTCGGCCATCTCCCCCCCCGTCCCCCACCCCCATTCGCAGGGACGACTTCGGAAATAACAAAAAAAGAGTTTAGAAATTCAGCACCGAGACCCCCAGGAAATCGCATCGGACAAATAACGATTTGAGTCACCTGACACCATCCCGCCTATTGCACGGGACACCAGAAGCGAGAATCCCCCCCCCCGCCCCGTACCCGAGCGGTAGCGACGTTGGAGACCCACAGACTTTCACCGCCGTTTAAGAGCCGCCCGGCTGCCCTAAGAACCGGTATGCACGGGGCTTCTTGTTGCCCAGCCACTGGGCCTCCGGTTACATCACTCGGCGAGACCTTCCAGCAGTGAACAGATCATGGCTGCTGATGATGATGCCGCGTTCACGGGGATTGCTCACGTGGGCGAGGAGCGTGGGGTATGGTGGGCCGCACACAACTCGGAACGATGGCCTCTACACCGCTGGCGTTAACACCGCAGCCGTCTATTGCAACGTTCTTCACTAGAGGGGGGCGCACGTCAGGGGCCGCCAGTGGTGCGCGGGGCCTTGCAATGAAGAACACCGGCGGCCTGGTGGCTACGTCTGGGTCAGACAGATTGCACATTTTGGATAAACCAGGGGTGGCGTGGAGGGGGGGAGGTCATGCCCCATTCATTAATTAGTATTTATTCTTACTACCAAAAATCAAACCGATGGAAATTTGCAGAAAACTTGAGGCGTAGGGTTTTCTGCAGTCAGTTTGTTTTCGGTGAGGAAAAATCAGATTGTTACTACGACCTCCGTGCATCTTGTCCCGACGGTGTTTGACGCCGCTTCAAGCGAGACATCGCATTATCCAACTGCTGATCAAATTGGCTGTGAGAATTACTCAGCCCTTACCGGTGAGCGAGCTCGGACAATTATCGGTGCGCCGTTAAAAGCTCGTACAAGTGCCGATTAAATCCGTTTGGCCGTGTCAGCTGGTGGAGGAGTCCTTAACGACACCAATTTAGTCAGATCATTATGCAACCTCACCCAAACATCAATTGCGAATTCACAGAATTAGTGTTTGTTTAATACAAAGGTGCAACGAACGGCTGTGAGCGGATCATCGCTCGTGCCTCGGGCCTGTGCTAATAAACCACAAGTGCGTCCGTAGCTGCCGCCCTGCGTCTACGTTCACCCGTACCAAAGGAGCGTCCGACGGAAGGAGACAAACCAGAGGTCGCAACCGGGTACCCGATACCTGTACCCTACCCGATACCCGGCTACCCGTACCCGGCCGGGTACTGGTACCTGTTTGCGACCCTGGTGCGGCCGGGTACGGGTAAGGAATCAAAACCCGTTTGCGACCTCTGAGCCACACCCACCGACGGCACCGAGGGGATTGCCGCTCGGCGGGCTGGGCACGGCGCGGCGAGCTCAGGGGAGAGGAGGTTTCGGTTCCTCCCCGGTGCCGCCAGCCATGCGGTGCACGAGCAGCGCCACCTCGTGGGCCAGTCGGTCGGCGTTCTCCTGTCGCACGCACGCACACACACATGCACGCGTTACACGCACGCACACACACACGCACACACGCAGCCACGCACGCACACACATGCACGCACACACATGCACGCACACAGCCACACACACACGCAGCCACGCACGCACACACATGCACGCGTTACACGCACACAGCTACGCTCGCACGCACACAACGCCAATACCGCACGCTACACACACGCGCACACACACAGGCGCAACGTGTGCGACAGACACCGTGTGTAATAACTGAAGAAATTGTGTACACACCGTGCATTACACACCAATCACACACACACCACCACACACACCAGCCACACACACACCACAAACACCACACACCAGCCACACACACACCACAAACACCACACACACCACACCACACACACCACACCACACACACCACACCACACACACCACACCACACACACCACACACACACACATGCCACCACACACACCACACATCACCACACACACCACACACACACACCACACACCACACACACACACCACGCACACTCCACCACACCACACACACACCACACACACACCACACATACACCACACCCCAAACACCACCACACACACACCACACACCACACACACCGCACACACACCGCACACACACCACACCACCACACACACACACACGCCACACCACACACACCACACACACCACACACACACCACACACACCACACACACACCACACACACACCACCACCACACACCACACCACACACCACACCACACCACACACACCACACACACACCACCACCACACACCACACACACACACCACATACACACACCACACACACCACACGCCACACACACCACACACACCACACACACCACACACACACCACACACCCCACACACACACCACCACCACACACCACACCACACACCACACACACCACACACACCACACACACACCACCACCACACACCACACACACACACCACATACACACACCACACACACCACACACACACGCCACACACACGCCACACACACCACACACACACCACATACACACACCCCACACACACACCACATACACACACCCCACACACACCACACACACACGCACACCACACACACACCACACACACACCACACACACACCACACACACACCACACACACACACACACCACACAAACACCACTCACACACCACACACACACCACACACACACCACACACACACACACACACACCACACACACACACCACACACACACCACACACACACCACACACACACCACACACACACCACACACACACCACACACACCACACACACACACACACACACCACACAAACACCACTCACACACACCACACACACACACCACACACACACCACACACACACCACACACACCACACACACCGCCTACCTGCGTGTCGGCCTCGGCGTAGACGCGCACCAGGTCCTCGGTGCCGGACGCGCGCACGAACGAGCGGCCGCGTGCGTAGCGCCGCACGCGGGCCTCCACCTCCTGCTGCAGGCCGGGCGGCCGCACGGCCCGGCGCTCCGCGTCCTCCGTCTCGATCACGCGGCGGTCCGACACCTACGCGGCAACAACAGCGACGACGACGATGACAAAAGACAAAGATCCCCCGCGTAGCCTCTACAGACTGTAGGGGCAAGTGCCGTTCACGAGTAGCAGCGCCTATGAAGGCCGGCACGGCACACGAGCGGGAGAGTGGCCAGTGCCAAGCCCGGCCGCCTTTGTCTCCCCAGTGCTGGCGATGTTCACTACACACCGCACCGGGTACTCGTTTGAGCCGACCCAAGCGGGAATTGTACTTTGGTCACCAGGTTGGTAGCACAGCGTGCTAACCGTTGCACCACCGCTCCCCTCGCACACACACGCACACAAAGACAAAGACGCCCGTATAGCCTTGACAGACTGTAGGGACAAGCGCTGTTAGCGAGTAGCAGCGCCTACGAAGGCCGGCACGGCAACACGAGAGGACGATTTGTTTACCTTTCCTATACCGTGTTTTTGTATTTGTCGTAACGTTCTGGACATCTGTGGACAAAGAGCTTTAAAGCCCATCAGATTCCTCCAGTTCAAATAAATATTCTAATTCTCAGTTGTGTGGGCTTGGGATGGACATGTCCTGCCTCGCAAAGCGATGATGATGATGATGACGACGACGACGATGGCCGATGTGGATGGCGGGAATGAAGGCGACGACTGTAACGTGGAGGAACGCCCACCACCGCCGCCCCTCTCCTCCGGCTACGCCCCCCCCCCCCACGCACACACGCCACCGCACGCACGTACGCACGCACGTACGCACGCACGCCACCGCACGCACGTACGCCACCGCACGCACGTACGCACGCACGCCACCGCACGCACGCCACCGCACACACGCCACCGCACGCACGTACGCACGCACGCCACCGCACACACGCCACCGCACGCACGTACGCCACCGCACGCATGCCACCGCACGCACGCCACCGCACGCACGTGGCCAGCCGCGCCAATCGCGGCGGTCCCGAGCGGCGGGCCGTGGGGCTGGGTGCAGGCGGCGACGCGTCACCTTGACTTTGAGCTGCCGGTTGGGCAGGTCCGTGTACATGGAGTCCCACTGCGGCATGGAGAGGCCCCGCAGCGCCAGGATGGCTTCAATGAGCAGCATGTCCGAGATGGCATCTCCCACCGTCTGCACGCACGTGCACACAAAGAAAAAGATTCCCCTATATAGCCTTCAACATATTGTCGGGGCAAATGCTGTTAGAAGGTGCACGTACATACACACGTACACACGTACACACACGGACACACACATAGAAGGACACACACACACACACACACGGACACACACACACACATGGACACCCATACACAGCTGCCTACGTACGGTTCACACCGCACCAGGTTCCTAATTGTAAAGGCTCAGTCGACCTAGGGGAGAACCAGAACTGCTTCAGACATCACTCGCTGGGGCTGGGACTCAAACTCGGGTCGCCGGGTTCGTGACGCGGTGCCCTGCCAACCGCTGCAGCAGTGGCGGTTGTTGGTGGTGCGGTGGTGGTGGTGGTGGTGCGGTGGTGGTGGTGGTGCGGTGGTGGTGGTGGTGCGGTGGTGGTGGTGGTGCAGTGTTGTTGGTGGTGCAGTGTTGTTGGTGGTGCAGTGTTGTTGGTGGTGCAGTGTTGTTGGTGGTGCAGCGTTGGTGGTGGTGCAGCGTTGGTGGTGGTGCGGTGGTGGTGGTGGTGCAGTGTTGTTGGTGGTGCAGTGTTGTTGGTGGTGCAGTGTTGTTGGTGGTGCAGTGTTGGTGGTGGTGCAGTGTTGTTGGTGGTGCAGTGTTGTTGGTGGTGCAGTGTTGGTGGTGGTGCAGTGTTGGTGGTGGTGCAGTGTTGATGGTGGTGCAGTGTTGATGGTGGTGCAGTGTTGTTGGTGGTGCAGTGTTGTTGGTGGTGCAGTGTTGGTGGTGGTGCAGTGTTGTTGGTGGTGCAGTGTTGTTGGTGGTGCAGTGTTGTTGGTGGTGGGGTGTTGTTGGTGGTGCAGTGTTGTTGGTGGTGCAGTGTTGTTGGTGGTGGGGTGTTGTTGGTGGTGCAGTGTTGGTGGTGGTGCAGTGTTGTTGGTGGTGCAGTGTGGTTGGTGGTGCAGTGTTGTTGGTGGTGCAGTGTTGTTGGTGGTGGGGTGTTGTTGGTGGTGCAGTGTTGTTGGTGGTGCAGTGTTGTTGGTGGTGCAGTGTTGTTGGTGGTGCAGTGTTGTTGGTGGTGCAGTGTTGATGGTGGTGGGTGTTGTTGGTGGTGCAGTGTTGTTGGTGGTGCAGTGTTGTTGGTGGTGCAGTGTTGTTGGTGGTGCAGTGTTGGTGGTGGTGCAGTGTTGTTGGTGGTGCGGTGTTGTTGGTGGTGCAGTGTTGTTGGTGGTGCAGTGTTGTTGGTGGTGCAGTGTTGTTGGTGGTGCAGTGTTGTTGGTGGTGCAGTGTTGTTGGTGGTGCAGTGTTGTTGGTGGTGGGGTGTTGTTGGTGGTGCAGTGTTGTTGGTGGTGCAGTGTTGTTGGTGGTGCAGTGTTGTTGGTGGTGCAGTGTTGGTGGTGGTGCAGTGTTGTTGGTGGTGCGGTGTTGTTGGTGGTGCAGTGTTGTTGGTGGTGCAGTGTTGTTGGTGGTGCAGTGTTGTTGGTGGTGCGGGTGTTGTTGGTGGTGCAGTGTTGTTTGGTGGTGAAGTGGTGTTGGTGGTGCGGTGTTGTTGGTGGTGCAGTGTTGTTGGTGGTGCAGTGTTGTTGGTGGTGCGGTGTTGTTGGTGGTGCAGTGTTGTTGGTGGTGCAGTGTTGTTGGTGGTGGGGTGTTGTTGGTGGTGCGGTGTTGTTGGTGGTGCAGTGTTGTTGGTGGGGCGGTGTTTTTGGTGGTGCGTGTTGTTGGTGGTGCAGTGTTGTTGGTGGTGCAGTGTTGTTGGTGGTGCAGTGTTGTTGGTGGTGCAGTGTGTTGGTGGTGCAGTGTTGTTGGTGGTGCGGTTTGTTGGTGTGCAGTGTTGTTGGTGGTGCAGTGTTGTTGGTGGTGGGGTGTTGTTGGTGGTGCAGTGTTGTTGGTGGTGCAGTGTTGTTGGTGGTGCAGTTGTTGTGGTGGTGCAGTGTTGTTGGTGGTTGGCAGTGTTGTTGGTGGTGCAGTGGTGTTGTTGGTGCGTGCAGTGTTGTTGGTGGTGGGTTGTTGTGGTGGTGCAGTGTTGTTGGTGGTGCAGTGTTGTTGGTGGTGGGGTGTTGTTGGTGGTGCAGTGTTGTTGGTGGTGCAGTGTTGTTGGTGGTGCAGTGTTGTTGGTGGTGGGGTGTTGTTGGTGGTGCAGTGTTGGTGGTGGTGCAGTGGTGGTGGTGGTGCGGTGGTGGTGGTGGTGCAGTGTTGTTGGTGGTGCAGTGTTGTTGGTGGTGGGGTGTTGTTGGTGGTGCAGTGTTGGTGGTGGTGCAGCGTTGATGGTGGTGCAGTGTTGTTGGTGGTGCAGTGGTGGTGGTGGTGCAGTGGTGGTGGTGGTGCGGTGGTGGTGGTGGTGCAGTGTTGGTGGTGGTGCGGTGGTGGTGGTGGTGCAGTGTTGGTGGTGGTGCAGCGTTGATGGTGGTGCAGTGTTGTTGGTGGTGCAGTGGTGGTGGTGGTGCAGTGGTGGTGGTGGTGCAGTGTTGTTGGTGGTGCAGTGGTGGTGGTGGTGCAGTGTTGTTGGTGGTGCAGTGTTGTTGGTGGTGCAGTGGTGGTGGTGGTGCAGTGTTGTTGGTGGTGCAGTGTTGGTGTTGGTGCAGTGTTGTTGGTGGTGCAGTGTTGGTGTTGGTGCAGTGTTGTTGGTGGTGCGGTGGTGTGGTGCAGGGTTGTTGGTGGTGCAGTGTTGTTGGTGGTGCGGTGGTGGTGGTGGTGCAGTGTTGGTGGTGGTGCGGTGGTGGTGGTGGTGCAGTGTTGGTGGTGGTGCGGTGGTGGTGGTGGTGCAGTGGTGGTGGTGGTGCAGTGGTGGTGGTGGTGCAGTGTTGTGTGGTGGTGCAGTGTTGGTGGTGGTGCGGTGGTGGTGGTGGTGCAGTGGTGGTGGTGGTGCAGTGGTGGTGGTGGTGCAGTGTTGGTGGTGGTGGTGCGGTGGGGGTGGTGGTGGTGCAGTGTGGTGGTGGTGGTGCGGTGTTGGTGGTGGTGCGGTGTTAGTGGTGGTGGGTGTTGGTGGTGGTGGGTGTTGGTGGTGGTGCGGTGTTGGTGGTGGTGGGTGTTGGTGGTGGTGGGTGTTGGTGGTGGTGGGTGTTGGTGGTGGTGCAGTGTTGGTGGTGGTGGGTGTTGGTGGTGGTGGGTGTTGGTGGTGGTGGGTGTTGGTGGTGGTGCGGTGTTGGTGGTGGTGCAGTGTTGGTGGTGGTGGGTGTTGGTGGTGGTGGGTGTTGGTGGTGGTGCAGTGTTGGTGGTGGTGGGTGTTGGTGGTGGTGGGTGTTGGTGGTGGTGGGTGTTGGTGGTGGTGGGTGTTGGTGTGGTGCAGTGTTGGTGGTGGTGGGTGTTGGTGGTGGTGGGTGTTGGTGGTGGTGGGTGTTGGTGGTGGTGGGTGTTGGTGGTGGTGCGGTGTTGGTGGTGGTGCAGTGTTGGTGGTGGTGGGTGTTGGTGGTGGTGGGTGTTGGTGGTGGTGCAGTGTTGGTGGTGGTGGGTGTTGGTGGTGGTGGGTGTTGGTGGTGGTGGGTGTTGGTGGTGGTGGGTGTTGGTGGTGGTGCAGTGTTGTTGGTGGTGGTGCGGTGTTGGTGGTGGTGGGTGTTGGTGGTGGTGCAGTGTTGTTGGTGGTGGTGCGGTGTTGGTGGTGGTGGGTGTTGGTGGTGGTGGGTGTTGTTGGTGGTGCAGTGTTGTTGGTGGTGGTGCGGTGTTGGTGGTGGTGCGGTGTTGGTGGTGGTGGGTGTTGGTGGTGGTGGGTGTTGGTGGTGGTGCAGTGTTGTTGGTGGTGGTGCGGTGTTGGTGGTGGTGCGGTGTTGGTGGTGGTGGGTGTTGGTGGTGGTGGGTGTTGTTGGTGGTGCAGTGTTGGTGGTGGTGCAGTGGTGGTGGTGGACCCACCTGGTTGATGAGGTTCACGGTGTGGTGGAGCTGCTCGGCCGCTCTGCGTCGCTCCACCCCAGAGTTGGCGTCCTCCATCGCGTCCCGGATCTGCTTCTCGGCCGCGTCGCTGAACAGGACCTGGGGAGGGGGGGGCGGAGACACCGGGACACCAACCGTTGTCACGGCAACGCAGGCTGTGGCCTATCGTCACAGCAACGTGGCTGGGCGCTGGTGGCTGCGTTGCACGTGGCTCACGACAACAGCGAGCGCAGCGTGAATGGCCGGTGTTGGCATGGCAACCCGGCACTTGTGGATGCGGTGAGGGTGTGTGGATTAAAGGCAAAAGTTCCCCCGTGTAGCCTTAACAGACTGATGGGGCAAGTGCTGTTAGCGAGCAGCACCTGTGAAGGCCGGCACGGCACACGAAGGGGTGGGTGGCCAGCACCACACCCGGCCGCATTTCTCTCCCCAGTGGCGATGTTTACACACCGTACAAGGTACTCATTTGCGGCAGAATCGACGTAGGGGAGGCCCAGGATTGGTTGAAAATAATCGTCACCAGTGTTGGCCGTGAGCGGGAATCGAACCTGGGTGCCCGGGTTCGTGACGCAGCGCGCTAACCGCTACACCACCGCTCCCCCACGCACGCACGCACGCACGTGACACTCTCAAACTTGCTCGCCGCAGAGGTCACCGTCTCCTGGCTAATGGCCCGGCTATGTTGCCAGTACAGCAAGTGGGTTAGTAACCATCTGTGCGGGGATGGGTTAATCTCTGGGTGCTCCAGTTTTCCCGCCACGTGTATAATCACTCTTTCATGCAATCGGCCAAAACATCCTAATATAGGACATCAGAGCTTGGGCAACGGTCGGCACCGATCCTGGCTGTCTTCCCGCCTGGCTGTGTTCCCGCCTGTCTATGGTGTCTGGGTCTCTCTGAGTCTCTCTCTCTCTCTCAGGGAGAGCGAACTAAACCCGCGCGTTACCAACGTGCGCATTTAATTTCAACAAACACAACTGCCGACGCGGATCCGGAATAATAACGATCACGCTGCAAGAGAACGCAGAGATCGACGGCTTGGGGAGGAGGGCCTCCATCCAGCAGCGGACCGAGCCCGGCCGACGACGGTGGTGGCGGTGGATGTTGTGTGCGGGAGCGACGTGCCGACTCACGGCGATGGAGGTTGTGTGTGGGAGCGACGTGCCGACTCACGGCGATGGAGGTTGTGTGCGGGAGCGACGTGCCGACTCGCGGTGGTGGAGGTTGTGTGCGGGAGCGACGTGCCGACTCACGGTGGTGGAGGTTGTGTGCGGGAGCGACGTGCCGACTCGCGGTGATGGAGGTTGTGTGTGGGAGCGACGTGCCGACTCACGGTGGTGGAGGTTGTGTGTGGGAGCGATGTGCCGACTCACGGTGGTGGAGGTTGTGTGTGGGAGCGATGTGCCGACTCACGGCGATGGAGGTTGTGTGTGGGAGCGATGTGCCGACTCACGGTGGTGGAGGTTGTGTGTGGGAGCGACGTGCCGACTCACGGCGATGGAGGTTGTGTGTGGGAGCGATGTGCCGACTCACGGTGGTGGAGGTTGTGTGTGGGAGCGATGTGCCGACTCACGGCGATGGAGGTTGTGTGTGGGAGCGACGTGCCGACTCACGGTGATGGAGGTTGTGTGTGGGAGCGACGTGCCGACTCACGGCGGTGGAGGTTGTGTGTGGGAGCGACGTGCCGACTCACGGTGGTGGAGGTTGTGTGCGGGAGCGACGTGCCGACTCGCGGTGATGGAGGTTGTGTGTGGGAGCGACGTGCCGACTCACGGTGATGGAGGTTGTGTGTGGGAGCGACGTGCCGACTCACGGTGATGGAGGTTGTGTGCGGGAGCGACGTGCCGACTCACGGCGGTGGAGGTTGTGTGCGGGAGCGACGTGCCGACTCACGGTGATGGAGGTTGTGTATGGGAGCGACGTGCCGACTCACGGTGATGGAGGTTGTGTGCGGGAGCGACGTGCCGACTCACGGCGGTGGAGGTTGTGTGCGGGAGCGACGTGCCGACTCACGGTGGTGGAGGTTGTGTGTGGGAGCGACGTGCCGACTCACGGTGATGGAGGTTGTGTGTGGGAGCGACGTGCCGACTCACGGTGATGGAGGTTGTGTGTGGGAGCGACGTGCCGACTCACGGTGATGGAGGTTGTGTGCGGGAGCGACGTGCCGACTCACGGCGGTGGAGGTTGTGTGTGGGAGCGACGTGCCGACTCACGGTGATGGAGGTTGTGTGTGGGAGCGACGTGCCGACTCACGGTGCCGTGGCCGTTGGCTTCGAAGTAGACGCCGACGTCGGCCTTCTGGGCCTGGTGGTGCAGGTGCTTGACTCCCGTCTTCACGCAGTGCACGGGCACCTGCAACAACAACAACCACGATGACAACAACCACCACGATGACAACAACCACCACGATGACAACAACTACAACAACCACGATGACAACAACAACCACGATGACAACAACCACCACGATGACAACAACTACAACAACCACGATGACAACAACAACAACCACGATAACAACAACTACAACAACCACGATGACAACAACAACAACCACGATAACAACAACTACAACAACCACGGTGACAACCACAACAACAACAACCACGATGACAACAACTACAACAACCACCACGATGACAACAACCACGATGACAACCACCACGATGACAACAACCACAACAACCACGGTGACAACAACCACAACCACCACGATGACAACAACCACGATGACAACAACCACGATGACAACAACCACAACAACCACGGTGACAACGACAACCACAACAACAACCACGATGACAACAACTACAACAACCACGATGACAACAACAACAACCACGAAGACAACCACAACAATAACCATGACAGCAACAACCACAACCACGGCGACAACAACCACAACAACCATAACAACAGCCACAATGACAACAACCATAACAACACCCCCCCCGCACCCCCACCGTGGTTCGCCCCCCACTCCCCGCTCGAGAGCGAGGAGCCTCTCACCCCGAGCGTGCCGGTGAGGAAGTGCGTGGAGCTGCCGTTGGCGTAGGCCGTCTGCACCACGGACACCTGCAGCTGCAGCGCCGCCTGCAGGGAGGCAGCAGAGTCCACCGCTCAATGTCAGAGGTCAGGGGTCAGAGCGGCAGCGTGGAGGTCAGGGTTTGAGCAGCAGCGTGGAGGTCAGGGGTCAGAGCGGCAGCGCGGAGGTCAGGGTTCGAGCAGCAGCGTGGAGGTCAGGGGTCAGAACGGCAGCGCGGAGGTCAGGGTTTGAGCAACAGCGTGGAGGTCAGGGGTCAGAGCGGCAGCGCGGAGGTCAGGGTTCGAGCAGCAGCGTGGAGGTCAGGGGTCAGAGCGGCAGCACGGAGGTCAGCGGGCCGCACTACGAACCCGGCGACTCCGAGTTCGATTCCCGCTCACGGCCAGCAACACCACCGGTGACGATTTTCTGAACCGATCCTGGGCCTCCCCGAGGTCGACTCGGCCTCAAATGAGGACCTAGCACGGTCGGCTACGCACGGTGCGAAAGAAGTTCAACGTACATCCAGGGGTATAGACGCAACGACCGCATTCTCTCGATTATAGGGCACACATTTTGTATTTATCTGGGGAATGCACAAGAGGTGTTTTGGGTTAGATCGCGTGAATATAAACGTGTCGTTAACCCACCACCGCCCGACACAGCCAATAGTTGAGGTTTGTCACGTAAGCAGAACGTGCCAGTTAGTAATTACTTCAGCGCACCGGCGTGGTGGAGAGCAAACCCACGACGTTGACAATTCGAGTTGTACGACGTTGGGGGATGCGCCGAGAACCACGAGAACCTCCGAACCAAAATCAGCGCAAGGCCGCAGCGCCCTGCGGCACGCACGGACGCTACGGCGGGTTTCATCGTCGGGCGCAGAACTGGGCCGGGGCTCTCGCGAGGAAGCGGCCGGCGGGCAGACTCGCCCGCCAGGCGGAGCGGCGCGGGACTGGCCGCTCCGTGCGCACGCCCCCCCCCGCCCCCCCCGCCCCCCCCCCGCACCTGCTTGAGCAGATCCTGCAGGAAGTGTGCGACGAGCGTCGCGATCTTGTCCCCAGTCGAGGAGGTGGAAGCGGCCGGCGTCGTCCGCGTAGAAGAAGACGACGCGGTCGCCGTCGCCGTCGAACGAGCAGCAGTGGGCGTTGGGCGCCAGCTCCACTCCTGGGGGGGTGGGGGGGGGGCACAAGGCCAGGTAAAGCCCCCCTGAGCTACGAACTTGTTTTTCAGGAGCGAGTTGGACATCGCAAGTGACAGCTCAACAAAGCGGCTCGACGTCGTCGTCATCATCATTGTGGAAATTGATATAAACATAAAATGCTCATTATCCATAGTAAAGGTTTTTCTGGGGTTAGTTTCGTGGAAATATAAACGTGTCGTTAAACCCGCCGCCACCGCCCGACACAGCCAATTAGTAAAGGTTTGTCACGTAAACAAAATGTGCCAATTAGTGACTGCTTCAGCACACCGCTCGCGTGTTGGAGAGTAAACAAACGGGATTTACAATTCGAGTACTGTGATTACAAGCAGCTTCCTCAGGCAATGAGCCAGAAACATCGTGAGCACCGGGTACTCATTTGAGCCTGAGTCGACCTAGGGGAGGCCCAGGACCGGTTCAGATAATCGTCATCGGTGTCAGTCGTGAGCGGGAATCGAACTCGGGCCACCGGGTTCGAAGCGCAGCGCGCTAACCACTGCACCACCGCTCCCCACACAGACAGACACACAGTGGCGCACGCACCCACTCTGATGGTTCTCCGGTATCCCACCTGCCCCCCGCCTGCCCCCCGCCTGCCCCCCGCCTGCCCCCCGCCTGCGCCCCGCCTGCGCCCCGCCTGCGCCCCGCCTGCGCCCCGCCTGCGCCCCGCCTGCGCCCCGCCTGCGCCCCGCCTGCGCCCCGCCTGCGCCCCGCCTGCGCCCCGCCTGCGCCCCGCCTGCGCCCCGCCTGCCCCCCACCTGCCCCCCACCTGCCCCCCACCTGCCCCCCACCTGCCCCCCACCTGCACCCCACCTGCACCCCACCTGCCCCCCACCTGCCCCCCACCAGCCCCCCACCTGCCCCCCACCTGCCCCCCACCTGCCCCCCACCTGCCCCCCACCTGCACCCCACCAGCACCCCACCTGCCCCCCACCAGCCCCCCCACCTGCCCCCCACCAGGCCCCCCACCTGCCCCCCCACCTGCCCCCCACCTGCCCCCCACCTGCCCCCCACCAGCCCCCCACCTGCCCCCCACCTGCCCCCCACCAGCCCCCCACCTGCCCCCCACCTGCCCCCCACCTGCCCCCCACCTGCACCCCACCTGCACCCCACCTGCACCCCACCTGCACCCCAACAGCCCCCCACCTGCCCCCCACCAGCCCCCCACCTGCCCCCCACCTGCCCCCCACCTGCCCCCCACCTGCCCCCCACCTGCCACCCACCTGCCACCCACCTGCCCCCCACCTGCCCCCACCTGCACCCCACCTGCCCCCCACCTGCCCCCCACCAGCCCCCCACCTGCCCCCCACCTGCCCCCCACCAGCCCCCCACCTGCCCCCCACCTGCCCCCCACCTGCACCCCACCTGCACCCCACCAGCCCCCCACCTGCCCCCCACCTGCCCCCACCTGCCCCCACCTGCCCCCCACCAGCGCCCCACCTGCCCCCCACCGACCTCACCCACCCTGCGGAGGCTTCTGCTGCACCTTGACGTAGTCCGCGCCGCAGCCCTCGTTCAGCTTGCCGGCCGTGCCGTCGTTGCTCACGGCAACGCTCAGCTGCTCCCGCAGGGGGCCCAGCAGCTCCGAGAGCCGCGGGGCGCCGATGCCGTTGGCCGCGTCCACGGTGAGACGGCGGGGGAGGCCCTGGGCCGGAGGCGGAGCCTGCGGGCCGCGGGGGAGAGGCCCGACGGGCGGTAAACTCGGTGCTCTGCGAGCGTCAAGAAGAGCCGCGTAGTAGCTCTTTGGGTTGCTCCAGCATCAATCAACATTCGGATCTTCTTGGTTCTTTCGGTAAAGTCACGTAGAAGGGAAATAATACAATAATAAAAATAAAACATCATAAAATTTAATCATTCTCAAGACGTTTCGGCCACAACGCAAGCAGCCGTCCTCAGGTGAAGAACAGGGCTGTCGGAAAGACAGCGTCTGAATGAACACCACCAAGCTTGGCAGCGTATATTTAAGCTGGGTTGGAGGGAGAAGGGCGTCTTGACAAAGGAATTCCCCCTCCAACCCAGCTTAAATATACGCTGCCAAGCCTGGTGGTGCTCATTCAGACGCTGTCTTTCCGACAGCCCTGTTCTTCACCTAAGGACGGCTGCTTGCGTTGTGGCCGAAACGTCGTGAGAATGATTTAATTTTATTATGTTTTATTTTTATTAGTTTATTATTTCCCTTCTACGTGACTTTACCGAAAGAACCAAGAAGATGAATCCCTGCAGTTACGAAAGCTTTAAATCGAAACATTCGGATGCCGAATAAAAATTCTGATCTTGGCGGTATACCGCCCATGCGGTGCGCAATTAGTCTCAACTATTGGCCCAGCGAGCGGCGATCGACAGCTGAGCGCGACGAGGAGGGAGGAGCGAGGAGGAGGAGAGGGGAGGAGGAGTGCCCCCACCTGCTGGAGGAGCGCCAGGAAGGCCTGCGTGAGCTTGTGAGCGTAGCCCGCCAGCGAGGGCTCCCCGTAGCGCCCCTGCGTGTTGTGGCACCGCACGACGTAGTGCAGCTGCGGGGTGGTCACCAGCCCCAAGTCTGCGGAGGTAAAAGACGCTCTCGGGATCGTGCACGCGGCCCCCCCCCTCGCCCCACGAGGAGGGATACGGAAACACGGAGAGACACACGGAGGTGTCTGTGTTAATTCTAGACTTGAAGTTTTCGTGACTGCAAGGATCCATACTCTTTGGTTCTTTCGGTAAAGTCACGTAGGTGAAAATAAAAATAATAATAAACAATAATAAAAATAACTAAATTTTATCACGACGTTTCGGAAGCAACACAAGCCTCCGTCATCAGGTAGGACAGACACAGCAAGAAATAATCATCTTCTTGTTTCTTTCGGTAAAGTCACGTAGAAGGGAAATAATAAAATAATAAAAATAAAACATTATAAAATACAATTCTCATGACGTTTTGGCCACAACGCAAACAGCCGTACTCAGGTGAAGAACAGGTCTGTCGGAGAGACAGCGTCCGAATGGGCACCACCAAGCTTGGCAGCGTATATTTAAGCTGGGTTGGAGGGGGGGAAGGGGCGCCGTGACTTTACCGAAAGAACCAAGAAGATGAATCCCTGCAGTCACGAAAGAAATAATTAGTCCACTCCAGCAAATTAGTTCTTGTTGTCGCTGTCCTACCTGATGACGGAGGCTTGTGTTGCTTCCGAAACGTCGTGATTTTATTTAGTTACTTTTGTTTTTATTTTCACCTACGTGACTTTACCGAAAGAACCAAAGAGTGTGTCCATGTTGAGCGAGAGGTGTTTGAGCACGGACACGTCTGCGAGTAGGGATGAGTCTGCGTTACCCTGGTAAGTCGCCCCAAGTGCCTCCACTCCGTCCATCACGGCCCGAGACAAAGCCTCGCTGCTCGGCCTGCAAATGATTGAATTTGATTGAATGTACAGAACAACTCCTCCATCACCATGTACAGAACAACTACTCTATCATCATAAATGACGTCCCCTCATCAGTCGACTGCCGGGCGAAGGCCTCCCCCCCCCCCTCCCGTGTCTCTCTCCGCGTCACCTCGTGTCTCTGCCCAGCAGCACGTGGCTGGGCGCCTGCATGTCCACGCTCTCCGCCTCCGCGATGGCGCGCAGCTCGCTCGCCAGGGCCCCGTCGTCCGCGTTGGCGAGGCGCGTGGCGTGCTCCTCCCACGAGGCCACCAGCATCTCCCCGAGAGGCTCCACCAACTTCACGCCGTTATCCTCCTAGAGGGGAGAGGGGAGAGAGGGGAGATGAGAGAGAGGAGAGAAGTAGGCGAGAGAGGTTTTAGCGGAGTACCGACGAGGCTCGATTATTGCAACTCGCTACTCTACGGGACGTCCGGCAAGAAACATGACCAAGCTGCCGCTTGTGTACAACATTCTCCGGCGCGCGGTGTCGTGACGGGGCACCGCACGACCCGGCCATGTCCGGCCCCACGCGGCCCTCACCTCGGGGTTGTGCGACGCGGTGACCATGACGGCGACGGCGGCGCGCACGGCCTTGGCGCGCAGCGCGGCGAGCAGGCCCATGCGGAAGACGACGTGGGGCAGCCGCTCGGCCAGCGTGCGGAACCCCGCCGTGCCGTACTCCAGCTGCAGCGCCGGCGGCTTCGGGCGAGCCGCCCCCCTCCGCCGCACCTCCTCCTCCCACGCCATCGCCTCTTGCCTGATACTTTCGCTTTGCTCGCTGCTGCTGCTGCTCGCTCCTTGACCTTCCTACGGCCAACAAGGTTCAGAGATCGATTCGGTTGCGAGTGATTCGTTGCTGAGAGTTGCTCAATTGCTGATGTGTTTATGCATGTCGGACTTCTTTCGCATCGTACGTAGCCAACCGTGATAATCGCAGGTGTACAAAAAAGGTGCTGATGCACGCACTCACCCCCCCCACCCACTCGCTCACCCACTCGCTCACCCACCCCACCCACCTCACCCACCTCACCCACCTCACACACCTCCTCACCACCCACCCAATCACTCTCACCCACCCACCCACCCACTCACCCACCCACTCATCCACCCCACCCACTCACCGCCAACTTACCCACCCACTCACCTACCCAATCACTCTCACCCTACCCACTCACCCACCTCACCCACCCACCCACTCACCTATCTACTCACTCACCCACCCACCCACTCACCTATCTACTCACTCACCCACCCACCCACTCACCACCCACCCGCTTCGTGATGCGTCCAACACGGGCTGCCCCCCCCCGTCCCTCCTAAATCTCGTGGTGGGACATTCCACGTTCCTGTGGCAGGGACGAGTCTAACATGAACCTTAGGGGACAGCCACTGCTGACTTCCGCACAAACTTGGCGACTGATTGTTGTCCAGCCCCGTAGAGAGACGAGATGATGTTGATGATGTTCAACGACTCTCTAACTTCGACGCTAACATTCAACGAGAACCGATTAGATTTTTTTGACAAAAATTAACCTCAGCGGATCGTGTCCCTTGGCCCACGAGAACATCGCGCTTAACTCATCAGAGTAATTTAATTAAGCGGCAACTCTGGTTTAGCTCTGTTGTTCAAGTTGTTGTTCAAGTTGTAGATCTGCCGGCGGCAAGACAAAGATCCCCCGTGTAGCCTTAACGGACTGTAGGGGCAAGTGCTGTTAGCGAGCAGCACCTGTGAAGGCCGGCACGGCACACGAGGGGGTGGGTGGCCAGCACCACGCCCGGCCGCCTTTGTCTCCCTCGTGGCAATTGTTCACACACCGCACCGGGTGCTCATTTGAGGCCGAGTCGACCTAGAGGAGGCCCATGACCCGGTTCACGTAATAATCGCCACTGGGTGTTGTTGGTGGTGGCCGTGAGCGGGACTCGAACTCGGGTCGCCGGGTTCGTAGCGCTCACCACTCCACCACCGCTCCCCCAGCGAGCGAGAGACACACACAACAACACAACAACAACACACAACAACACAACAACATGTGTTGTTGTTGTTGTTGACAGCATCCCCATCGAGCCGTCTCGCACGGCCTTGCTGGCGAGGACGCGTCCACAATTCAGCACAGCGCCAATTAACAAACAAATATTTTTTTAAATCCGCGAAGCGGTTTCGGCAAAGCGATGTCTCACCAGCTGGCCCGAAGCAACCCTGACGGCAGCGTTCATTATCGCAACAACAACAGCAACAACACACACCGCACTGCGGCAACCCAACTAGACAATGATAACAGTCTAACGACTGTTGTTGTTGTCGTTGTTACCGTGAGGAGGCCGCGGCGGGTGTCGAACCCGTGGGGTCGTGGGCCCAGCTGCGTCCGGGATCACCTCGTGACCTGCACCCCCCTCAGCTCTCCTCTCCCTCTGCGGGGCGACTGCTCGGGGCGCTCTCTCTTTACTCTCCCTCTGGGAGCTTTACTCTCTCTTTACTCTCTCTTTACTCTCCCCCTGGGAGCTTTACTCTCTCTTTACTCTCCCCCTGGGAGCTTTACTCTCTCTTTACTCTCTCTTTACTCTCCCTCTGGGAGCTTTACTCTCTCTTTACTCTCCCCCTGGGAGCTTTACTCTCTCTTTACTCTCTCTTTACTCTCTCTTTACTCTCCCCCTGGGAGCTTTACTCTCTCTTTACTCTCTCTTTACTCTCCCCCTGGGCATTGAACGCTCTCCCGCCCTCTCTCTCTCTCTGACAGGGACACGTGGCACGTGCCCATCGCTTCCGTGTGGGGAGGGGCGCGGGGTGGAGCCGGGGAGAAAGGGGCGGGGCTTATGGGAAGGGGGCGTGGTCGGGAGGGAGGTGGGCGTGGCTTGATAGATTTTTATTAATATGGGGCGGGGCCTGTATCCGAGTCACACGTGACCCCGGGGGGTCGAGGGGGGGGGCGTAATGGTAAATGTATCGCCCAGCGTGGAGTGGGGAGCGCTCCTCCGCGTGTTTCTGGGGGTTTAATTCGGGGGGCCACGGGGAGCGAGGCTGGATGAATATGGACCGGACCAGTGGGGCCGCGCACTGCCAGGGGGCCTCCAGGCCTCGGGCCGCGCGCGGTGCGTGGCCCAAGACCTCCGAAGGAAGTTGAACCAGGGCTCTCAATGCGCACAGAGCAAGCTGACCACTAGGGCCCCTTTGTGCTTAGAGCGTGAGCTCACCACTAGGCCCCCAGACCCCCTGGTGTTTACAACGTGAGCTCACCACTAGGCCCCCAGACCTCTTGGTGTTTACAACGTGAGCTCACCACTAGGCCCCCAGACCCCCTGGTGTTTACAACGTGAGCTCACCACTAGGCCCCCAGACCTCTTGGTGTTTACAACGTGAGCTCACCACTAGGCCCCCCAGACCCCCTGGTGTTTACAACGTGAGCTCACCACTAGGCCCCCCAGACCTCTTGGTGTTTACAACGTGAGCTCACCACTAGGCCCCCAGACCCCCTGGTGTTCACAACGTGAGCTCACCACTAGGCCCCCCAGACCTCTTGGTGTTTACAACGTGAGCTCACCACTAGGCCCCCAGACCCCCTGGTGTTCACAACGTGAGCTCACCACTAGGCCCCCCAGACCTCTTGGTGTTTACAACGTGAGCTCACCACTAGGCCCCCAGACCCCCTGGTGTTCACAACGTGAGCTCACCACTAGGCCCTCCAGACCTCTTGGTGTTTACAACGTGAGCTCACCACTAGGCCCCCAGACCCCCTGGTGTTCACAACGTGAGCTCACCACTAGGCCCCCCAGACCTCTTGGTGTTTACAACGTGAGCTCACCACTAGAGCCCCCAGACCTCTTGGTGTTTACAACGTGAGCTCACCACTAGGCCCTCCAGACCTCTTGGTGTTTACAACGTGAGCTCACCACTAGGCCCCCAGACCTCTTGGTGTTTACAACGTGAGCTCACCACTAGGCCCCCCAGACCTCTTGGTGTTCACAACGTGAGCTCACCACTAGACCCCCAGACCTCTTGGTGTTCACAACGTGAGCTCACCACTAGGCCCCCCAGACCTCTTGGTGTTTACAACGTGAGCTCACCACTAGACCCCCAGACCTCTTGGTGTTCACAACGTGAGCTCACCACTAGGCCCCCCAGACCTCTTGGTGTTCACAACGTGAGCTCACCACTAGACCCCCAGACCTCTTGGTGTTCACAACGTGAGCTCACCACTAGGCCCCCAGACCTCTTGGTGTTCACAACGTGAGCTCACCACTAGGCCCCCCAGACCTCTTGGTGTTCACAACGTGAGCTCACCACTAGGCCCCCAGACCTCTTGGTGTTCACAACGTGAGCTCACCACTAGGCCCCCAGACCTCTTGGTGTTCACAACGTGAGCTCACCACTAGGCCCCCAGACCCCCTGGTGTTTACAACGTGAGCTCACCACTAGCCCCCCAGACCTCTTGGTGTTCACAACGTGAGCTCACCACTAGACCCCCCAGACCTCTTGGTGTTCACAACGTGAGCTCACCACTAGACCCCCCAGACCTCTTGGTGTTCACAACGTGAGCTCACCACTAGCCCCCCAGACCTCTTGGTGTTTACAACGTGAGCTCACCACTAGCCCCCCAGACCTCTTGGTGTTTACAACGTGAGCTCACCACTAGGCCCCCAGACCTCTTGGTGTTCACAACGTGAGCTCACCACTAGGCCCCCCAGACCTCTTGGTATTCACAACGTGAGCTCACCACTAGCCCCCCAGACCTCTTGGTGTTCACAACGTGAGCTCACCACTAGGCCCCCCAGACCTCTTGGTGTTTACAACGTGAGCTCACCACTAGGCCCCCCAGACCTCTTGGTGTTCACAACGTGAGCTCACCACTAGCCCCCCAGACCTCTTGGTGTTTACAACGTGAGCTCACCACTAGCCCCCCAGACCTCTTGGTGTTTACAACGTGAGCTCACCACTAGGGCCCCAGACCTCTTGGTGTTCACAACGTGAGCTCACCACTAGACCCCCAGACCCCTTGGTGTTCACAACGTGAGCTCACCACTAGACCCCCAGACCTCTTGGTGTTTACAACGTGAGCTCACCACTAGACCCCCAGACCCCTTGGTGTTCACAACGTGAGCTCACCACTAGCCCCCCAGACCTCTTGGTGTTCACAACGTGAGCTCACCACTAGACCCCCAGACCTCTTGGTGTTTACAACGTGAGCTCACCACTAGCCCCCCAGACCTCTTGGTGTTCACAACGTGAGCTCACCACTAGACCCCCAGACCTCTTGGTGTTTACAACGTGAGCTCACCACTAGCCCCCCAGACCTCTTGGTGTTCACAACGTGAGCTCACCACTAGACCCCCAGACCTCTTGGTGTTTACAACGTGAGCTCACCACTAGCCCCCCAGACCTCTTGGTGTTCACAACGTGAGCTCACCACTAGACCCCCAGACCTCTTGGTGTTTACAACGTGAGCTCACCACTAGGGGCCCAGACCTCTTGGTGTTCACAACGTGAGCTCACCACTAGGGCCCCCAGACCTCTTGGTGTTTACAACGTGAGCTCACCACTAGACCCCCAGACCTCTTGGTGTTTACAACGTGAGCTCACCACTAGGGCCCCAGACCTCTTGGTGTTCACAACGTGAGCTCACCACTAGGGCCCCCAGACCTCTTGGTGTTCACAACGTGAGCTCACCACTAGACCCCCCAGACCTCTTGGTGTTTACAACGTGAGCTCACCACTAGACCCCCAGACCTCTTGGTGTTTACAACGTGAGCTCACCACTAGGGCCCCCAGACCTCTTGGTGTTCACAACGTGAGCTCACCACTAGGCCCCCCAGACCTCTTGGTGTTCACAACGTGAGCTCACCACTAGACCCCCAGACCTCTTGGTGTTTACAACGTGAGCTCACCACTAGGGCCCCCAGACCTCTTGGTGTTCACAACGTGAGCTCACCACTAGGCCCCCCAGACCTCTTGGTGTTTACAACGTGAGCTCACCACTAGACCCCCAGACCTCTTGGTGTTCACAACGTGAGCTCACCACTAGACCCCCAGACCTCTTGGTGTTTACAACGTGAGCTCACCACTAGGGCCCCCAGACCTCTTGGTGTTCACAACGTGAGCTCACCACTAGGCCCCCCAGACCTCTTGGTGTTCACAACGTGAGCTCACCACTAGACCCCCCAGACCTCTTGGTGTTTACAACGTGAGCTCACCACTAGACCCCCAGACCTCTTGGTGTTCACAACGTGAGCTCACCACTAGACCCCCCAGACCTCTTGGTGTTTACAACGTGAGCTCACCACTAGCCCCCAGACCTCTTGGTGTTTACAACGTGAGCTCACCACTAGCCCCCCAGACCTCTTGGTGTTTACAACGTGAGCTCACCACTAGGCCCCCAGACCTCTTGGTGTTCACAACGTGAGCTCACCACTAGGCCCCCCAGACCTCTTGGTGTTCACAACGTGAGCTCACCACTAGGCCCCCAGACCTCTTGGTGTTCACAACGTGAGCTCACCACTAGCCCCCCAGACCTCTTGGTGTTCACAACGTGAGCTCACCACTAGGCCCCCAGACCTCTTGGTGTTCACAACGTGAGCTCACCACTAGACCCCCAGACCTCTTGGTGTTCACAACGTGAGCTCACCACTAGACCCCCCAGACCTCTTGGTGTTTACAACGTGAGCTCACCACTAGACCCCCAGACCTTTTGGTGTTTACAACGTGAGCTCACCACTAGACCCCCCAGACCTCTTGGTGTTTACAACGTGAGCTCACCACTAGACCCCCAGACCTCTTGGTGTTCACAACGTGAGCTGACCACTAGACCCCCCAGACCTCTTGGTGTTTACAACGTGAGCTCACCACTAGGCCCCCAGACCTCTTGGTGTTTACAACGTGAGCTCACCACTAGGCCCCCCAGACCTCTTGGTGTTCACAACGTGAGCTCACCACTAGACCCCCCAGACCTCTTGGTGTTTACAACGTGAGCTCACCACTAGACCCCCCAGACCTCGTGGTGTTCACAACGTGAGCTCACCACTAGGCCCCCCAGACCTCTTGGTGTTCACAACGTGAGCTCACCACTAGGCCCCCCAGACCTCTTGGTGTTCACAACGTGAGCTCACCACTAGACCCCCAGACCTCTTGGTGTTTACAACGTGAGCTCACCACTAGGGCCCCCAGACCTCTTGGTGTTCACAACGTGAGCTCACCACTAGGCCCCCAGACCTCTTGGTGTTTACAACGTGAGCTCACCACTAGAGCCCCCCAGACCTCTTGGTGTTTACAACGTGAGCTCACCACTAGACCCCCAGACCTCTTGGTGTTCACAACGTGAGCTCACCACT